CTGAAATCTTACCAGCAATTGGCTTGTCTGACCACCTGTCCGTTCTTGCTACTCCTGCTGTTCAAGCTAAACTACCCAATAATATTATTAAGAAAACTGTACGTAAAACAAAACCGTCTAGCATAACATCACTTGGAAAATTCGTCAAGTCATTGGACTGGAGTCACCTTTACCGCTTACCTTCTTGCCAAGATAAATGCGACCTTTTCTACAACCTACTTATGTTAGGACTAGATACCTTCCTGCCAAAGGAAAAGGTTAAAGTTCATTGTAGGGATAAACCATGGATCACTCCGGATTAAAAAAAGCTTATATCAGACAGACAACATGCATTAGCTGCAGGAAATCGTAATTTGTATAATCAACGTAGAAATGATGTCCGCAGAGCAATAAAACAAGCAAAACCTTCCTATTTTCAAACTCAGGTTAAACATCTTAAAACCGCTGATCCATCGAAATGGTGGAAAGCCGTAAAAAATCTGGCAGGCTACACTTCAGATAAGTCCTTTCATTCTGTGATCAATGACAACCGAATATTAGAAGGTAAAAACCTAGCAAACGCTATCAATGAATCATTTGTTGCTGTTAACAAGTCTATGCCCCCTCTTTCCGAATTCGATAAACAATTCCTTATAGCGCCTTGCGAATACCACATCCCAGTAGAACTAATTGAACGTCGCTTAGAAAAAGTTAAAATATCAAAAGCGCCAGGCCCTGATAGTATACCTAATTGGCTACTAAAAGAATTCTCGGCTGAACTTGCTACACCAGTGGCATCTATCTTTAATGCCTCCATTGCCCAAGCTCAAGTACCTTCACAATGGAAAGCGGCTGACATTATCCCTATTCCAAAGACCCACCCAGTACAGGATATTAACAATGACCTCAGACCAATATCTCTCACCGCTACGTTATCTAAACTTTTAGAGTCATTTAATGCAGAATGGATCCGTGATAGCATCTGCCAGAAACTCGATCCAAAACAGTTCGGAGCAATTCCCGGCTCCTCTTCAGTTGATGCCTTAATTAGCTTACTCCACTCCCTATACGCTGACTCAGATGGAAATGGTAAAACTGTGCGTTTATTCCTACTGGACTTCAGCAAGGCTTTCGATCGGATTAACTATAAGATACTAATCACAAAGATGCGCAAATTGGATATAAACCCATCCGTTATCAATTGGGTAATTGACTTTTTGTCCGGAAGGAGACAGCGGATTAAAATGGGTAACGTATTTTCAGATTGGTCTGCAGTAAACGGTGGGGTACCCCAAGGAACAGTGCTCGGTCCTATACTCTTCTTAATTATGATAAATGACTTGGTTACTGAGCATGATCGAAGGTGGAAATTTGTGGATGATACAAGTGTCTCTGAAGTTATTAATAAAGGTGAGCAAGGGAAGATGCAATCCCTTGTTAATGCGATAAACAGCTGGTGTATAAAGAATGACATGAAACTTAATCAATCTAAGTGCAAAGATATGATCATCTCGTTTGCGAAAGATCCTCCAAAACTGGACCCAATCTTCGTAAACAATCACAAACTAGTTCCTGTATCTTCAGCAAAAATCCTAGGCACTTATATTTCCACAGACTTGAAATGGAACACACACATAAACTATATTGTATCCAAGGCTTCTAAGCGCCTATATTTTTTACGCATATTAAAACGGGCTGGACTTGATCATACATCCCTTTTAACCGTCTATACTACCTGCATAAGATCAGTCCTCGAATACGGTTGCCAATTATGGAACTTTGGTGCTTCCCAATACCTTTCTGATGACGTCGAGCGGGTCCAAAAGCGAGCACTAAGAATAATTTATCCTGATCTATCTTACAGGAAGGCCTTGGAGGTTATTCCGCTTCCAAATCTTTCACAAAGACGAGATGAACTTTGCAGATCACACTTTAAAAGAATAACTAAACCAAGTCATAAATTGTACAATCTTCTCCCTGACAAACGTACTAACAATCTTAGAAATAACGACAATTTTACACACATTTGGTCTTGTACCAACCGTTTTAAAAATAGTTATATACCAAGTAGTGTAGTATCTTTTAATACCTATACGTCTTAATAAACTATATAATATATAATCATATCTTAATTATTAGTCTTTAACTTGTAATTTTATAAACTGTATTTTTAGAACATTATGTAAACCGAGCAATTCAGCTTTGTAGCTGCAAATCGGTTTTTTTTTATAATAATAATAAAATAATAATAATAATATATATATAACAATTCAAGTTTTCTTGATATAATATAGAGTGCTCAATACTTTATTGTAGAGCTATAAATTCATTTAATTATTTATGAAATAAAGTACATAACAAACGTTGTTACTCTGAGTTTCATGCCTGAGTTTACAGACAATCTTCGGACAACTAAAGTTTTGTTAACTAAATTTGACCGTTTGGTTTTGTTTGCTTGCGCGTTCTTCCGTCGTGTATGATTGCGCACGTTGTTCGATTGCACGCGAATGTATTTTTCCACCAGAAATTGTTTTTGATGGACGCAATTCGAGAATATTTCACTTCTTTTGTTGAGCAGCGAGTTCTTTTTAAATTTCATGATGAAAAGTTTTTCGTCGCTACACAAATTGCACTGATTACGTCCCGATCTGTATGCACTCGAATGTTTTAAGATGGTCCATTTAATTTTGTATGGGCGATTGCTTTTCTTCAAACTCCATATGTACTTCGACAATTCAGTGTCGTTAGCATACGTAGCCATGTTGAACGAATTCTGGTGGTTCCTAAAACGCTCCTTGAAAGTTGTAGGCGTAATTCCAATATAATGCCTTGTTTCTCTGTTGTTCTCTGCTGCGATCTTTGCATGGTAAACAATGCCTTTGGTAATTAAGCATTTCTTGTTGAGAGGACACGTATTCTTATCTCTGCAGTTGCATGTTTTGTTGGTGGGTGGCGCAGGTGTTCGTGTGGGTTTTAATGGTAGTGTTGGCGTTAACGTTGGTGATGGGGGAGGTGGTGATGGGGGAGGTGGTGGGGGTGATGGCGCTTTTGAAAAGATCTTATTGTTATGGCTGGATATCACGGATTTCACGTTTTTCATGCAACTATAGCTCACTTTGATGGTATTCCTGTTGAAAATTTTGTTGAGGGCAGATGACTTAGGGAAGTAAACATCTACGAGGTGTAGAAAATATTTACCAATGTTGGATCTCACGTTTTTACTGTAAGGCGGGTTGAACCAGGTGATATTCCTTTTTCGGTTTCTTTGTGGTGTGTTACGGGTGTTATGGTTTTGATTGTGTAACTTGCTTTGGTAGTTTGCTGTGATGGAGGGCTTGTTCGTATAGAGGCGCCGATAAGTCGAATGCTTGTTTGTCGGAAGAGAGTCGGGAGATTCTTTTATTAATTGACACAGGTAGTTGTCTGATAATTGGGGGTGGGTGGTTAGAGTGGCTGTTGATATAGAGTGGTTGGTTGTTCGGTTTCCTATAGGGTTTGTAACTACCGTCAGCTAAGTTGAGCGTAATGTCTACGAAATTAACAGTTTGATGACTGACCTCTGCCGTGATCTTTAAATCAAATTGCTCAAATAAATGGTGCAAATTCTTTCTTATCTGATCAGCTAGACGACCACGAGTCCCCTTCAGCAATATCACTCCATCGTCGGGATACAGGCCGACACGATCTTTCCCAAACGTTATCGATAATTCATTTAAGATGAATAAACCAACAAGTTCACAAACTTCCGCTCCGTCGAAATTTCCCATTGTGACATCGAACATACTTTGATTGTTGCGTTTAATCCAAGGCTTTCCATCCTTAAATAACAGAGAACTTCGAGCATGGTTAATGATGGAAATATGCTGCTCGGTTATAGGAGTGAAATTCATCGCCCATTTGATCGCTTTATCCAGAAGTTCTTCGGTGATTGACGGGTAGAATTCTGCGATGTCGAAGGGCGGAAAGGAGTTGTTTGCTTTATTATTTATGTCTTTGAACCATTCGATGACAGATTGCGAGTCTTTCCATTGGTTAAAACCAGTTGCAGTTCTAATCTTGGAATTAATGTCATCGAGGATACTTTGCTCACTTTACCCAGTTCACTTTTTGCTGGGTTTATAAGTCGGAATTTTGGGCTTTTCTCAAAGTTCTCCTTGTGATCTTTGACAGTAATGAATGCTTCACGTTTCGCCATGGTTTCAATACGATCGCTGATATTAAGATCTGAAGCAATATTCAGTAACTCGTAGTTAATGTCATCTATCATATCGTCGCTGCCAAGTTTGTACGTTTTTGTTATATTTTCTTTCAATATTTTATCATACACGTCGGGTGGGCTTTCGTAAATGTTCCTTGACTTATCAGCAAACATATAAACATTAGGAGATGATTTTATTTTCTGTAGATCATTGTCAAGTGTTGTAAGAAACTTATCATTTACCTTTCGGAATTCAATGTTCTCAATCATACGGACAAGGTCTTGTTCAAAACGTTTCATTTGGGTGATAGGTGGAGGTGATTTCTTTGACTTTAAACCATAAGTATGCTTTTCAGTAATGTTGGAACCATTTAGAAAGAAATGCGCTTTCCATCTCATACGACTTACGACGTGCTCAACCTTCTCAATGAGTCTTTTTCTGTACGCGTCTTTTGATGGTAGACCAATGTTCTTCAAAGAATAGTTAAACAGAATCCTTTGCATGTTGAATAGCTTTATTTACTATTGCTTGTATACACGAAGCAGAGTGCACAACTGCGAACCAGGTGCTTTCAATAACAATTCAAGTTTTCTTGATATAATATAGAGTGCTCAATACTTTATTGTAGAGCTATAAATTTATTTAATTATTTATGAAATAAAGTACATAACAAACGTTGTTACTCAGAGTTTCATGCCTGAGTTTACAGACAATCTTCGGACAACTAAAGTTCTGTTAACTAAATTTGACCGTTTGGTCACAGAGTAGATAAGACATACAGAGACGTAACTGACCGTTGTAAACACTGCTGAAGATTACGTAGCCTGCGAACAGGCCCTGGGTTACGGGCGGCGCGAAGAATAGAGGGCCTGCACGGATGATAGGTTTTCTTGGTAGTGGCGTTCGTATAGAAACGCAGGCTTCTGATTGGCTTACACTCGTTGACAAAATTACTAAAAATAGCAAATGTCAACAACAGCATTTTGAAGAATTTGAACTTTATTCATTTTAATATTATATATTATAAGACTATCGAACAAATAAAACTAGAAATGGAAACCAAAAGCAATAACAAAGCATCACAGCAAAAAGTCTATCATAAATGACTTGAATCTATCGCTTAAATCCAATATACGAAACTATAACAGTATTCTGAACTTCGTCTTCGGATTGACATCAGACTATAGTATAGTACATTTTGAGGTCGTCGTGGCTTCACGAATTATTCTCATTAGTGAGCAAGTCAGCAAGCGAAGGCATACAAAAGATACCCAAATATGTACGAATAATTATATTGTTGATCCTCGCTGGCATGTCATTTAGATAAATATATATCGTACATTAAACGTTGTACTATTTACTGTATAAACTGCTGACAATTTCGTCGTCGATACGGCTTCCACTATTGGCACACTCGTGGGGTTAGTAAAATTTTAGACGTATTCGGTATTCCAAATCCCAATCTATCTGACCGTATTTTAGTAATAGCTTCAAATATTCAGAACATTGTTCTTTCAGTCGCACATAGTACAAGTATTACTGTACATTCAATGCCAATGGCCCAATGGCAATGGTAGTATTTTATTCGGCTTTATATTTGTATGTGTATTGATATCTATTTAATATTTGAAAAATTCTATATTTTTCTGAGTAATATATTGTGCCAGAGATATTGTGCTTTGTATTATTGTTCATATAACATTATGTATACATTTTAACTTTCAGTATTTCTTCGTTGCACAATGTACACGCCTTGCGTCAATTTGACAGTTGACAGTTTATTTATCGCAGTCGACGCTGATTGGTTCGCGTTTAGCAGATGCGAAAAGGGGAATAAAACGCATGGTCCGTGCAGGCTCACCTTTCTTCCAGTGAGCCTGTTCGCAGGCTAAAGATTACGTTATCATGTACCCACTTTTTTTCAGGCGACCAGGCGAAAAATGATCAACTGCGCGTGCTCAGCAAGTTTAAAGTGAGTCGTGGGTACACTAGTTACGTCTTTGTATGTCTCTACTCTGTGGTTTTGTTTGTTTGTTTGTTTGTTTGTTTGTTTGTTTGTTTGTTTGTTTGTTTGTTTGTTTGTTTGTTTGTTTGTCTATTCATTTGTCTATCTGTTTGTTTTTCTGTTTGTTTGTTTGTTTGTTTGTTTGTTTGTTTGTTTGTTTGTTTGTTTGTTTGTTTGTTTGTTTGTTTGTTTGTTTGTC